GAACGTGGGGACCAACTGGGTTACCCGTTGCCAGCTTACTGGAAAACAGAGTCGTAGAGATTTTGAAACGCTCATGTCTAGCCTGGCCTTGGTATAGACCTTTCAAGCGAGTCATCATAGGATGAGCTTCCATGTCCTTATGGAGCCTTTGGAGCTCCGGGGTCATGGTGGCTAGCATGAGACATCTCACATCACGTGCATCGTCTTCATACTTCTTGTACAAAGTAATTTCTGCAGCATGGGCGTTCGCTTCAGGAGCTTTGGGAGGCTCAGAGGTAAGGACGTAGAGCTTTTTCTCGCATTCGAGAACAATCTTAAGATTCATCTCCCAATCAAGAAAGTTGGTTCCAGATAATTTTTCCTTTCTAGAACATATCGCAGGTTGAAAGGGTTGTTGTTGTTTGCCATCTACAGAAAATTTTGCAAACTAGGTTATCTATCATGTTTAATAATTAATTAGGCCTTTAATTAATTATCTCCCACTATTTTTAACAATTCAATAACCCTCGATATTGATTCAGAGATTTCCGGCGAAACCTCTAGTGGGCCAAGATCCATATTTCATTATCTTGCGTTCCGCTTGGGCGTTACTCCACAAGACAACTATTTTGGTAGGAACATAGTTCCAACTGATGAGCCGGGCTCTCAGCTCTTGGTCTGGTGTTGGGCGAACAATATTACTACAACCGGACCAGGACACCTTTTCACCGTACTTGTAATTGGCTGAGGCACGTCTTACAAGCAGACTACTTTGGTTAGGAATAGAGTTCCAATTAAATCATAAAGATCCAACTCCTGGCTGGATGAGTGAGTAAAATCATCCGTCTTGTCATTGATGACCCCAACTTACTGCCTCTGAGTCGTCCATCCATTTGACCGAGACTCAGTTAAGTCTAACCCAACGTGCGACAGCGACCACGCTATGGCGGTTCCCGTAACCAGCTTAACATACACCGTACTATGCTCTGCTGAGGCTGAGTACATGACAGTGCACATTAGCCGGATAGGTGCCGGGCGTCAGAAG